CAGGCCATCAAGCGATTGGACACCTCATTTTCCGTATCATGAAAATAGAGTTGTAAATTATTCGACAAATCTAAATCAGTCAAAAAATGGTACATTTGACCCTGGATTCTAAAAGTATAAACACCCTGATTTCTGTGGCTTAACTCCTGATCATACCGCACTCCCAAAGACGTGAATGCAAACTGATTATTTATTGTTCGAATGCAAGTCCTAAAAAATTGTGCATCAACTGTGTTTGAGAAGAGAAGATCCTTTAAAAGTGGTGGTATTGGATGACAGGCCAATTTAATAGCGCCCTCAGAACAACAAGATTTGATAGTTTCATAAATGATTTTCTTGGCACCACAATACCTGCAATCACGCTGTGTCCGCAGTGCATATGAGCTTGTAAGCACCGCATCTAAAATCCGTCGGCCGTCATTGGGTTGTGTAGCTAATAAAAAAAAAAGGATTAGTCATAGTTTTTCCGTGTGGGGGAAAAACGTTTTAAACTAAACATGACCAAAACATGAACCAACATGGGTAACCTGTGTTAACTGCACGACTTGTTGAAGGGGACTCGTCCATTCCACCTTGGGCGGCCGAAATGTGTAAAGTGCTACTATCCTCACCAACAGAATCTCTGCCAGTCTTCTGAGCAGCATCGTGCAAAGCGCTGGGTATTGAATTTTCATGCGCATGTGACTCATCCGATTTCTTGTCAGTGCCATCTCGCATAACAACACCGCCTGCAGAACGGTGTGCCCGTGTGGATTGAGATTGTCTACCACATTCAGCTGGCAACCTTTGCAACACAGACAGGCCAGCTGCAACTGCAAAAGCAAGCAACATTCAGACTGATAAAACTGTAAATTAGGTGTGCTGTAAAACAGCCGACACGATGAACATCGAAGACGGCAACACACAAGCAAACAACCCATGAAAAAAGTTAATACAAAAGACATCTGATAAAAACAAAAGACAAAAGTAAATAAGCAGAAAAACTACAACAAAACCAACCATGAGCGCGGAAAAAATGACACCAACAAAGTGCCACAGACATGCCCAAAAAACGAATGTATACCTGAACGCGTAACCGGGCGACAGGGACCTGTCGAAGATCCGACATCCACATTCGACCTTTTAGCTTTCTTGGACACCCACCTCTGTAAAGCTGCTTCTCTTTCATGACTATCCACTGGAACGGCATGTGCAGGTTCTGTTGGTCTACGACGGCGCAATGGCAGATCCGTGTATGATAAGACAGTGGCTAAACAAACCGAACCATAAATGTCAATTCACACACACAACTCTTCAATTACAACATAAGCAATAACAACACTGCATAGCTCATTAAAGAACATTTAAAAAACACAAAAGGCAGTATAACGTACCAGAGCGTGTAATTGCACGACCAGCACCAGATGAAGAAGCAACTTCCGCAGCGGACTGTTTATACTTCTTATCCCTCCACCTCTGTAAACCAGCCTCTCTTTGACGTCGGTTAGTAGAAACATCTTTTGCGATTTGCAATGCTCCGTCGCAGTGCAATGGCAGATCTTCATCGGATGCCATGAACCTAAAAAGCCCCCAATAAAGGTCATTTTACCCAGATTACTTACAATCTCCCAGCAGGCCCCAAAAAATATACAGTAGTACCAAAAAAACATGATATCAACAGACAGAAAAATCACAATTAGAACAAAAAATTAGTGAAACCAGCATCCTTAAATTTAATGAGCACAACCCAAAAAAGAATCAAGGGAAAAAACGCCCTGCATGTCACGAGCATCACACTTTCAATAAGCAGGTCAAAGAAAAGCAAAAAAAAGGGCATGAAATTAAAAACACAACAATGACCTAAACAAAAACAGTCAGGCCCCGGATCGAAAATATTTAGGCCTTCGGTACCTTAAAAGCCAACAACCTGTCACAACCGCTAATGACAAAATTTAGGGCTTCGTTATGACTAAATCCAACAATTAATGAAGATCACGTTGTGCAAACCAATGTGACATTTCATAAACTCAACTTTCTTAATATGTATAAAGATTCAGATTACAAAATTACTCAAAGCATATCAAACATATTAGTTGCATTTATTTTGAGCAAATAAAGTTAACCTCAACAACCAATAATATGAGAAACTCTACATTATCTCATCACGCCGTGTGTGTGTGTGTCCATAATCATTTCACATTTGTCAAGTAACATGTGCCATTTGTAACATGATATCAACAGTAAAATAATAATCAAAGACTTCAGCCTCCAGCAGAAAACATAGAATCGTGCTCCAGATACTTCTCTACATGCAACATATAAACAGTTAAGGCTACAAACAAAATCTGAGATCAACATTAGTGATACATAATTCTCTCAGCACATGCTAGCAAAATCCACAACATTAAGCCAACATTTTCGCGACAAATATATAAACCAAATGATAGAAGAAATTAAAGATATATGTCCTCAAATGTACAACTATTTTACACCAATCACGTTGAACATTAAAAAATTAAAAGTATAGAAATCAGCATGTTACAAAATTGAAACCTACTTCACTCGAAAGTGTTCATCTTTGTGCAAAAAAGTAAAGCAAAGCAAAGCAAATACTCACCCCATAAAAGCAAAATTCTGGAAAGGTTCTTCAAAAATATTATATGTGCACACATAAAACTAAAAAATATTCATTAATGAAATAGAGTGATTACCAGACCCACAAAATGCCAAATCTTAATGTAGGAAATAGAGTGATTATAAAAAAAAAACTATAAAAGTTGAGATCTTGATGAAGGAATATAGTGATCAATAAAACCCACAAAATGTGAAATCCTAAAGAAGAAAATTGAGATTACTGAAGGACAAGAAATCTAATCAGTCAACAGAGGATGGAAGACATCTATGACATACTACGAATAATTAATCAAAGTTTAGCATTCTTTAATGATAGGTAAAATTAAACTAATTAAATCGCAACCCAGGCAAATTAAGCCTAATTAAGCCTGGCTCATGAGAATGCTAAAATAACCTTTGCGGCAAATTAAGAATGCTAAAGTTTTTCGAATTATCCCATTAATGCTAAAGTTTTTACCTATTATGAACATTCTTTAATGCTAAACCGCATTGCTGTTTAATGGAAACCGCAACCCGGCAAATTAAGCCTAATTAAACTAAAACACAACAATTATTTTAAGATTCAGCCGCATCAATACTTGCCTGGGGAGTCCGGACCAATATGTGTTGGAAAGAGGCGGTCGACCGCTGTGAGTTGTGGGCTCTGGAAGAGACGACGGTAGGTGACCGCTATCAGTTTTGGAGGCAGGGCCGGTGGTGTCCGAGTTACTGCTGGTGGCGCTGCGCTGTAAGTGGCGTGTGGTGGTACGCGGCGTCGACAGGAGCTGCAATTTTGCAGTGTACCAAGGTGGGGAAGCCGGCGACCTAGGTTTTTTTTTTGCTTTTTTTCAGAGAGAATTGCAAACAGGTTGTAGGGGAGAGAATAGAAAACTTAGATTGCAGAGAGTGAAAGTGAAAGAGAGAAGTGCAAGAGTCAACCCCAATCTGAGGAAATCAAATCATTGTCAGAGCGTGAGGTAAGATCAAATAAAATGACCAATACAACCTCAAAAAAGTTGAACAAAGAAGGGCACTTGAGTCAAAAGACTCACAACTACAAAGTATATCCAAATGACCTTATTGACCTTCTAAATTAGTTAAAAATGCTGAATTTGTGTGTTTTCAATCAAGGTCATTTCAATAATTGGCAAATAAAATACCAAATGTCAATCAGAGAATATCGCCACTTGTCGCCATTTAAGGCCTTTTATATCTTCATATATAATAGTAGAGATATGCATTAATTGCTCTATATATACTTTTTCGAATAAGATCAAATCATATATGATCATAAATATTGTTTCCTTAAATAAATATTATTAACATCTACAAAAATTCAATGATATCCATTTTAATAAATTCCAAGATTAATTTTCTGTGATTCATGTTGTAATACTTTTGTCAAGATAAATATTAAAACATATTTTAAGTTCTAACCGTAATAGTAATTTTTTTTCAGAAATATTCACTTTTTATCTAAAAAATATTTATAGAAAATTGTAATAGATTATTTAGGATTCTTTGTTTTAATGAATCAGCCGGAATCAATTTGGTCAATTAATATTTGCCAATACAATTTTTTTCTTAATCTGTATTTTGTTATATGTTAAAAATTAATTAATTTTCAAATTAATATAATTTACCATTAAAGAGATAATGAGCAGATATATTAAATAGTTTTACTATTGGTCAAAATTTAAAATTGAAACATATAACTATTTCTTAGAATTTATTTGTATATTATTAGAAACCATGGATATTTTATATACCATTTATTTATTTTGATTTCTTTCTATAATGAAATTATTGTAAATATATTTTCATTAAGAGTATGGTAAATAAACTATAAATCCTTATAATGCAAATTTGAAAATTTTTGTTATTGAAACGATTCGGTTTTTGGCATTTCCTATCAAAGTTGTTTAATTAGCATACAAAAATAAATTCTTAAAAAACATGTGTGTATACTTTGTAAAATATTTATACACTATTTAATTTTAGATTCATTTACAATAATTCATTTTTTAAGATTGTTAGTGCAACTATTCATATCCAGTCCATTGCTCATGGGCTACATAATTCGTAGAGAAAATATATGATTGAAGAAAATAGAGAAGTGTAATTATACATACGTATTTCATGTTTATGAAGTATCAATTTTAAGTACGACAATCCAACTATTTTTTCATTTTAAACTGCCAATGCATGCAGCTAATTGAGACTGGTAACAAAGGCCAAATTATTCTATAATTTTTAACTTAATGAGTCTTTTATTTTATTTAACTCCTGACAAAAGGATAAAAGTAAGAAAATAATTACAGGAAGCTTAACCGAAAGGAAATGTAGCTCAATGATTATATTTCAGATGAAATTTCTAAGAAATACGGGGTTCGACTCCCCGCATCTCCAAAAATATATTTTTTTAATTACCAGGAAACTTTATACTGGAATTTATAACCTTATATCTATATATATACATACACTTATATATATTAATATATATAATGAGAATAACCATTTACTAAAAATAGTAGTAAAAACTTTTAGAAGCATTTAAAGCGTACTCTTTTTTGGAAACTTTTTAAATATATGCATTAATTGCTTCTATATATACTTTTTCGAATAAGATCAAATCATATATGATCAAAAATATTGTTTACTTAAATAAATATTATTAACAGCTACAAAAATTCAATGATATCCATTTTAATAAATTCCAAGATTAATTTTCTGTGATTCATGTTGTAATACTTTTGTCAAGATAAATATTAAAACATATTTTAAGTTCTAACCGTAATAGTAATTTTTTTTCCGAAATATTCACTTTTTATCTAAAAAATATTTATAGCAAATTGTAATAGATTAGTTAGGATTCTTTGTTTTAATGAATCAGTCAGAATCAAGTTGGTCAATTAATATTTGCCAATACAATTTTTTTTCTTAATCTGTATTTTATTATATGTTAAAAACTAATTAATTTTCAAATTAAAGAGATAATTACTAGATATATTAAATAGTTTTACTATTGGTCAAAATTTAAAATTGAAACATATAACTATTTCTTAGAATTTATTTGTATATTATTAGCAACCATGGATATTTTATATACCATTTATTTATTTTGATTTCTTTCTATAATGAAATTATTGTAAATATATTTTCATTAAGAGTATGGTAAATAAACTATATATTCTCACAATTCAAATTTGAAAATTTTTGTTATTGAAATGATTCAGTTTTTGGCGTTTCCTATCAAAGTTGTTTAATTAGCATACAAAAATAAATTCTTAAAAAACATGTGTGTATACTTTGTAAAATATTTATACACTATTTAATGTTAGATTCATTTACAATAATTCATTTTTAAGATTGTTAATGCAACTATTCATATCCAGTCCATTGCTCGTGGGCTACATAATTCGTAGAGAAAATATATGATTGAAGAAAATAGAGAAGTGTAATTATACATACGTATTTCATGTTTATGAAGTATCAATTTTAAGTACGACAATCCAACTATTTTTTCATTTTAAATTGCTAATGCATGCAGCTAATTGTGACTGGTAACAAAGGCCAAATTATTCTATAATTTTTAACTTATTGAGTCTTTTATTATATATAACTCCTGACAAAAGGAAGAAAGTAAGAAAATAACTA